TGCCTGTGAATGTATTCATTCAGTTTTTAGAGTCTTTTTTCTGTAAAGAGTTATTTATAAACTAATTAAAGTTCAATTAACTTTGAAATTCTTATTGGTATTATTTAGTAAATTAAAAACAGTTTCTTATTTTATGGTACAAGTTTAGAGTTGTTTGTCTGAGCCACTCTATAACACAGAGAACTTGGAGAACTTGTCTGGTGAGAAGCAGGGGACAGTCCTTAAAACAGATTTTAGACTCTTTATATGATTTCTAATACGATGTGCTGAAGTAGAATATTTAATCTCTCATTTACTGAGTAATTATGGTGACCTAGCAATATTTTGTTTACTTAAGATGAAAAAAACAAATACTAAAATTACTTCTGTTATGCTTTTCATGGCTGTATTTTGTTGGTGATTCTGAACTTTGTTGAACAGAGCAGCCTTGAGAAGGGATACTAGAGACTGTATTTACAGATTATATTGTAACTATTTCTCACTGAGAATATTTTGTCCATTATCGTTAAAGAAACAGATATATGATAATTCTTCCTATCCTCTGTTCTTGTTCTCCTGCAACGGTGAATAGTTGTGAGGGATCTAATTATCAGATCAGTTGTATACTTCTTAGCTACTTATGTACTTCTTTACTTCTTATATTGCTGTTTGGACAGCACCTACGACAACACACTTTTGAGCAGAAATTAGTAATTGTTTCTAATACCCTTGTGTGCTATCAGCACAAAGACTAATTGTTCTCTCTCTGTCCTGTTGTCTCTTCTCCCTGTCAACTTGGAGCTGTAGACCAGTTTTAAACCATGAGAATCCTTTACTTTGTCTTTCCCCTTCTTTTCCTGGTGGTCCATGAGGCTGAAGGTAAGAAATGAATGACAGTCACTGAGAGGGATTTTCACAAGCCTGTAGGAAAACTTCTTGTTATGACTGATGATATGCAGCAGACCTTTAAAATGTGGGAAGGACACAATCCTGTTGCTTGTGGGAACTCTTTGGTGTCCCCATGAACTCTGCTCACTGTTTGCCCCCACAGGACTTTATGGGAATTGTTCTTAGTGCCATCCAAAATAGCTGCTATTCTTTCAACAAAATGTTCAGAATAAATATCCAGTGGAACACAGAAAAAAGGGAATTCGTTCCATTGCAAATTCCTTTTTGCTCCATAGGCAAGTCACTGAAAGGGTTAACCAGAAGCCATGAGTTAAAGGGGTTTTCTTCCTGATGAACAGTGTTCTTACTTCTGGACACTCTTCAACCAAAGTCTAGGGCCATCTTGATCTACGTGCGCTCAGGTGCTACACCAGCAGCTATATGTAGTTGAGCAGGAAAGTATATGTAAGAACTTAGCCTGTTTCAGTCATATAGGATACATTAATTTATTGTCAGGATAAGGGTCTTTCCACAAAACCAGCATGAAGTCCCAGTTAAGCCAGAGTGAGGGGCTTAGTTTTTTGCAGTGCACGTCCAGTATTCCCAATGACATATACCTCACAGTTCCCTCTTCTTTACCCTCTGTTCCTCACCCAGTGCTCCTGGATCATCTCCCCACAGGCACGCTGCTGTCTGGCAGGACGATGGCTGGCCATGCGGCTCTGTCACCTCCTCACACAATGGTCCTCAGGCACAATCTGCATTGTCTGACCACCTACCGTCAAGGACAAACACCTGGTCTGAAGGAAAGGCCTGTTACCAAATTGCTTGTGGTGTTTCAATATTGTGAAGGCAAAAAAAAGAAGAGATTTCCTGCTTATTACAATATACTGTATACTGAGTCTGGAGTTTTTGTCAAGGCAAAGTTTGGGCTTAAAAATCATCAAAAAGAAATTTCTGCTTTTGAATTCCAGAGGGACCTCAACAGTTGTGGCCAGCTACCCACAAACTCCTGCTGTGTTGTAAAATAACGACGTTTCCTGTTCTCTACTTCCACTGAGTGCACTTAATTTACAGACATATTGGCAAGTGACATCAGTCAAGGGAATATTAAGCGCTTTAGACAAAGTTTGGACGATAGTTCAGACAGAGCTGCAGAAGGGCAGAGAGAGCCTGAGAGAAGAACATATATTTCAGTACCAAATATAACGTGATTTGTGAAGTATGTATGCCACATATTCTGTAATATGTGCTACATACAGCACATCTGGTGGGATTCAGTTCTGCGGACTTTTATGTAGGTGTCTACACAGAGGTGACTGCAGGAGTACTGGTGTCTGGACTCCCGCAGCAGTCAGTAGAGCCAGGAGAAATGACAGACCTGGAAGGACTGCTTCAGTCACTCACACAATGGCAGTAGTGTCATTTCTAGAACTGTGTCGTATTCTGCCTGGCCTTCATGTGCTGTTGTAGAAGTGTGACGAATTCTTGCAAGTTGTATCTATTACATATTGTAGTTCCAAATGTCATGAATCAGATCCTTTAAGGATCTGCATAGCTGAATAATACCACCCAGCGCTATTGCGTGTAGGAAATCATATAAAAAAACAACAGGCTAGATGTTATATTTTCATACCATATTTGTGATAAAAATGAATGTACTGTAATTATACTGCTTATCTTCTGGCTAAGGAATAGTCAACAGCTGTGTCATTTTTAAGCTGCATTCCTTGGCGTACTGGCATTTCTCAGCAAAGCTTGGCTTCCCTCTTCCCTTCCCTTCCCTGATGCCTTTTCTCCCTCTTGATATGGAGCTCTGGACTTGTTTTCAACCATATGACTCCTATGAATTCTCATTGATTTTCTCTAATGCTACCAGACAGAGAGCCAGGAATTACCAGTGAAAGCAAGTGAGGAAAGAGAAGGAATTTTATAAGCTTTTGGGAAAAATCTGTATATGTTCCAGGTTTTGCTACAGATGCTTTTTGTGTGGGAAGGGAGATGTCTTGCAGCCTGTGGGGAACGTTGTATACCTGTAAGCTCCATTCATTGTTTCTCTCAAGGTTTCTTTTGCAGAATGTATTGCTAAAATCACCCAACACAAGTCTACAGCCTACCAAAAAAACCTCAGAGGACATTAGTGCAGAAGGGAAGTGTGGGGTGGAAATAAGAAGTAAATAATCTGAAATTAAATAAAAGTTTTCCTTATAGAGTATGTGAAAAGTTTGGGAAGACATGGAAACAAAAATATCTTCATTTCCTCATTAAAAAAGTAAACACCAAGAACAAGAAGCCCATATTATTTGATGATATAGGGCTATCTCAAGCACTGATAGTCTCCATAATCATAAAAAAAGGCTTGATGAATCGTTAGAGTAAGTTTCATAGAAGATATGTAACAAATAGATGAACTATCTACCCTGTGCAGAATGCGCTCAAGAAGATGGTACAAGGTCCAGTAAAATATGATACAGAAGGTCTCTCTTATGAGAGAAATGTGTTTAGAGACCACAGAGTAACCCAGTGGTCTGTCATAGGGAAGGGCTGTAAGTATCCAGATCAGGATGCAAATGTAACATAATGTGCAATTGCTCTGACCACTATATTAAAGGAGGGTCAGAAACCATGTGTGCTTTGTTACACGCAGGCTGCGAGAGCCTGCGTGACATGGTGCCAATCGCTGCTCACAGGGACACATGCACCATGCCAGAAACATGATCACACCAACTCAGCACCTGCTGAATGAGGTCCCCAGAGCAAAATATAATCTTATCCCGTTGGTACTAAGAGATGACCCCAGGTGACCTTCTTCTGGTCCCTGACTGGAGAGACCTGAAGCGTGAGAACAGGCTTCTTGTGGAAACTCATGGTTAGTTTAATGTAAAATTAATCTTAGTGGTAGTAAGTTAGGTAACTAGAAGAAGGAAATAAAAGAAAAGACTGGGGAATGGGCACAGCACAGCTGCTGTAAATCTGCTGAAGAGAACTGAAACGTGAGATTTTTGCCTGAATGTTAAGGCTGTGCTGTGTGTTGGATGCCTCCTCTAGAAACGTTTTCTCTGAGGGAGCACGGTAACCCCTCAGCTCCCTCTGGTGTGAGAACAAGCCCTGCCAACCATCTCATTGCATAACAGGGCCAGACTGCCAGCTAGCACCAGGCAGAGCGCCTACAACTAGCCCAGGCATGCATTCCTCCAAACACCCATTTTCCCCAGACTTTGAGTTATGTCAACCATCCCCATGACTTGAGCATAAGAAATCATGCTGAGGAAGATTAGAAGTTGGATGTGACATCTGGGAATAAGATTGTTCTTAGTTAAGAAGTCCATTTGTAGGACACACTTGTAGGACACATATCTACTGCAATTTTGAGAAGTAGAGACAAAATACCCTCCCTGAACAATGTTTCATTCAGAAATGTTTAGATTCCAATGGAGAACTGGAGCTAATGACGAGAGCCACCAGTGTACAAATCCATACAAACTGGTTTCCTCCTGCTCTCTTTTATGCATCCTCTCAGAGTGGCAGGTGAAGAAAAAAATAAAACAAAAAAGCTAGCAAATTTACATGCATTGCCATGAAATTACATGGTAAACTACTTCTTGAGCAAAGAACTGAAAGAAACTGTAGCACTAGTAAAAAAAAAAAGAAAAAAAGGCCTACATTTTGCAAGGGATATGCACAGAAGTCCTCCAGGAGCCCAGAATATGGTGTCCCACATACCAATGTGAAGATTAACACTTGGTAGGAATTTGGAGTTTTAGTTATTTCTATTTCTCTTTCCCCAAGCAGAAGTTCTCTGCACGTGGAATGAGGATTTTGGCACCTGAACACATTCCAACAAAGTAAAGCTGAATTTTTCCAGCCAGCCTTTCTCTTTGTACGGGAGGGTAAGGTCTTCTGTCCATGTCTGCCCAGTCTGGGGAGTTGTATGCCTCAGAAGAGCTCAAATTGAGGAGTGGTCTGCACACTGTAAATTGCTACACTGGAGTTTGTGTGTAAAAACCCAAACGCAGAATCATCACCCTCAGCCTCTGCAACACACATCCCTGTTTCAGCAATGTGAATGCTAAGCAACATCAATTTATTCAAAAGAAGGAAAGCAATACCTAATACATTTATATTTACTGATCTTCACAAAGCTTTTTGTATCAGAAATGAAAGATGCTTGAGATTTTATTGTATCAGGATCCTGTGGTTTTAGCAGTAAGGGAATTCAAAGAAAATTACTAGATTTAGAAGAAATTTTCAGAGCTCTTCATTGGACAGTCCACAAAGATCTTATACATCCCACGGCCTGCACAAAGGAAGAAAAAAATCAGATTCCCTTTATCTTTACATTCCTTCCCTACTTTATCTCTATCCATTCAAGTTTTCCTCCCTTCACACACTTCACCTAGTAAGGTGATAACTGATTGATCAAGCTGGGACAGGTCTGCGTACAGCACTTATCTGTGAGTGGAAGCAGTGTTTTCATACTGCTGCAGGCAAAGCAGGGAATTAAACTGGTATCCTTTGTTAGTGGGGTGAATGCATGCACTCCTCAGTAAAAATAAGGTTATTTTTGTAAGCTTCTTTTTTTTTTTTTACAATATTCAATTGCACTTTTTGTTCACATTTGATTGCACTCAATTATGTGTTCATCCTGCAGTGTAACTAAATTGCCAGGTTGTTCCCCATATATCACGGCTCTTCGGTTCTGGAAATATTAAGCCCTGATATTTTGCTCTGACAGAGGAGCTGTAAAGAGGTAGAACAGAACTGGGACAGCGCATGGATGATCTCTGTCCGTACTTTGCCCTTCTTGCTGGGGCATGTCATGGGGCACATTTCAAGAGCAAGAGTATTGTGGGCCTCTGCTAGCAACCTACTCCAATCCTCGACTGTCCTCAAAGTGTAAAAGTCTTTTCTTATGCCCAGTCTGAACCTTGAATAGCAGTTTGGGGATAAAGACGTGAGCAGAATACTTTTGCCTGCTCATACTGCAGGTGAACCTTGATGAACCTTGAACTCACCATTTGCAGCAGGCGCGGAAACCAAAGCAACTTCCAACCTTAACCAAGTGGGCAGGACATCCTCCAAAATGACAGGTTCCTTTTCTACAGAAAAGCATGTCCCGCCGAGGCGAAGACAGTCCTGCAACAAGAACAGCAAAATTGCTTCCTTCTTTCTGCAGGGCAGGGTGAAGGCAGTAGTAATACCAGTAGGATTTCCCATTTTTCACTGACACTCGGACAAGCCCTGCAATCAATTGTTGTGCAAAACAGCTGGTGCAGGTATTTCAGGCCAATGGAAGGGATGTCATTCTGCGATTGTTTGCTGCCCAGCTGCACCATGGACGGTTGTAGCTCGAAGCATGGTTTTCACTCACTTGTCCAAATAAAAAGCAAGGAACTGCCTCTTCCACCAACCTCCCTTAAGGGTTGTCACTCTGATGGGAGATCACCAAGCAGGTCTACACCTTGCAGCGGTAAATCCACAGTTTATATTATATCTAAATAGAGGTACTTTCACAAGATTATCTCTCCCTACACCCCAAACATTATGCTCCTGCATACTGATTTCTACACAGACTCTTCTATGCTGCAGTGACAGCATTTTCAGGAAGGAAGTCAGATTCATAAACGTCTGGGTGATACTGCTGTGGTGTAGGTACCCCAAATCCAAGCTCTGTGGTCACAGAGGCAGAGTGCCTGGCACTGAAATAGAGGTCAATAGAGGATCCAGACCTCTTACAGCCAGCCAGAAGGGGAAAGCTGCTTAGAGTATGATTCAAGGACTGTGAGCTTAGGGAATAAGGGTCTGGTCCCCAGAGGCTGTAATCCATGGTTTTGTTCTGAAAATAGGTGGCCAGACTTCATTTTTATCTGCATATTTTCTCTTGAGTGGGTTGTTAGCCAAAGCACATGGCAAGCAAACAGAAGCTTGGACAGCTAACGCTGGAGGATTTACAGGATCCCTTCAGAAAAACACCGACAGGGAGGAATGATTTTTTCAGCAGTCACAATTTCTCCATCTTTGAAAGGGTTTCCACAGGGGAAGGGGAACAGCACAAGCACTGAGCTGACTATTTAACTAACCCCTGCTCAATTTCTAGTACCATTAACCAATAGTGAGCAAAATGTGCTGGGGATCTTATTTGAGGATCACAAAAACTCCCCTCCCAGCATCCCTTTGTTCTTTTTCCACCTTACCTGGAGAAACCTGGAGGGCCAAAAAGAGGAGAGAAAAGAGTAGGTAAAGGATCCTCATGACTGCAGATTAACCGTGTCACTAGAGGGAAGAGGACCAAGAGAGCTGCATGACAGATAGTCCTTGGTATCTGAACTGTACAAATACATTATTAATCAAAATGATATTACTTCTTCTAAACACTTTAAAAAATAACTAATACTACCCACAGAGCATTGTGACTGTCATGAGAGCATTCCTGAAAAAAACCACAAATATAGTTTGGGCAACATGCTTTTAGGATATATGATTATTAAATTATTTTAATTATCTAGTTGCTCAGGTTTCCTCTCTCACATTTTTCACATAGTCTTCATCTAACAAAAAATAATATCCTATCTGTATGTTAGCTATTTGATGTGATAAAAAACAATGCTAAGAAAAATGAGGTCATTATACAATCAAGGTTATAAACATCAGACAAAAATTCTTATCTTGGAATGTTAAAATTTATCAAGAAATAACAACTAAAATCAACTTGCTCAAAATCTTCAGTCTTCATATATAAGCAATAGTTCTCGAATGGAAATGTACAATCAAATCATTTCCCAATTAGTGAGCAAAATCTAAAAAGTAAACATTTAATATCTTTATTGAAAAAGTCAATGATTAATGCAACTAATATCAGAAAAAGAGGATAAGGTAGCGTAAAGGGGGGCTTGTAAGGAAAAAAGATCAGTAGTTAATGTAGTATATCTTGGCTTTAGTGAATCTTTTGATTTGTTGTGAATTATTTTCTCTTAAGCAAGGCAGTAAAATGAGGTTGTGACGAAATGTTATATTTCTGCAACAGAATGGTATGTGGCACAAACACAGAGCTATGAAATTAGTAATAGAAGATTAACATATTAGTATTAGAAGTTTATACAAGCTTTTATGCATCTGAAAATATCAAGAAAATCAATAAGACAAAGTTAACTTAATTCTGAAAATGAAATAAAGCTCTTAACCTAGATATCAAACATCTTCTAATTTCCCTGTAGGACACCGTTAATTTCTCTAGAAAATAGACCTCTTTGCTCTCCAAGGTAAGCTGAAGCAGCGACATTTTTTTCCCAGGAGTTAGTAAACTTCATTATCTTTATCAAAGTATTATAGGTGTTAGCACTTATTTGATCTACTTACTCAACTGGTGTAATTTCTACACAACTTAGATTCAATTTAGTAATCTATAAATTTAATTCAATAATGCAGAGGTTTTTCTGGAGGAAATAAAAAAAGAAAAACAAACCACCACACATTGAAAGAAAGACTGAAAAGAAGTGAGAAGTTACCAGGTATCAGGTGACCCCACAAGCCAAAATAAGACCTGTTCTTGGTCTTTCCCTTCCAGAGGTCTTTGATAGTGGGACTGAGGTCTCTTTTATAATGTATTTGCTATGGGGAGTGACAATTGCTTTCTCCTCACAGCAGGTACATTTTAGCCAATCAAGAAGTGACTCGTGTTTTTAATGACTTCTGATCCAACCAGAACTATGTTGCTTCTCCTTTTCCAGTGAAAAAGCAGGATTTCTCTTCGGACCTTTTGCGGCTTTTCCTCTGGAAAATTGCAGGTTCTTCATGCAATACCTCTTGTGACACTCCAGTTTGTGTAAGATACGTTAGACCACAGTGGCGTGTGTCAAACATCTTGGGACATATGTTGAACTGTTTCTGGTTAGGAGCAACATAATCCGACTGCAATATAAAACATCTGCATGCTTCTCTGCAGTCCTAGCTAGTTCATTTTCTGTTCTATAAAAACAGAATACGAGAACACAGAATGGACATACAAAGCTAAAACAAAGCTCCATTGGCCTTATATCTTCTCTTCAGTCATTGTCAGTAAAGAGTACAGCAATAGAGTGGGTGCCTAGTGGTCATGTCCCTGTATGCCCTTCGAGCTGACAGAAAACACATCAGTTTAGGGGAACCCAGTGCCAGAGGTTGCCTTTGGACCTTCACTTTGCCGAGTTCCTGACTGAACAGTTCTCCGTGACTGCAGCTAATCTCGTTGTATTTTTGGCCTCTACAGGGCCCTCAGCTGTTCATTCCACAATAAATGGAAATAGGATCTCCATCCCTGGAGGTATTTAAATTCAATTAGACAAGCCCATGAGCAACCTGGTCTATCTTTGAAATGGGCTGTTTTGAGGGGACGGCTGGACCAGAAGACCTTCAGGCATCTGTTCCAACCTGCATTGTTTTATGATTCTATTCAATGGCAAAATCTAACCAAACTAAACCTATAAACCTATATAGTGGAGATGTGAGGAGCCTCCACACAGTCTATAATGTCTACTGATCCTGTCCTACTTACTCATCTTTCATTGCGTGAAGTCACTTGCTGACATATTCATACCCAATAACTGCAAAGACACTAACACTAAAACTTTTTTGGTCATATTGTAGTTTACACCTCACTTAAGTCAACAAAACATTGTTTATGCATCATTTTAAAGCATGACTCCCGAATTATATCATAAGAGGATATGATATGTTTGATATTTTGATTGACAAGAGTTTTTCTACATTTCATGTGTGTGTGAAAGTGAGGATGGTTTTAGTTGAAAAAGATCTCTCTGCAAGTGTCATCATGGCCTACAGGTCATTTAGCCTCAAACCTCAACTGAAATATTTAAATTTCTTACTGGCCTCTTAATTTACTAGTGATAAATTTTTTCCATTGCTTTTATAGCAATTTCTTAAGTATCAAAAACTGACCCAAGTTTCTGGTAACTTCTGATCTGCCCAGATTCAGGTACACACACTCATATGTGCACACACATCCTCACACACATATTTATATGTGTATGCATGAAAATACTTACGAATGTTTTCCCATAAGTTTTTCCATTGTGCCTGAGGTAGCTTTTTATTTTCTATATATTTTTGAAAATGATCTTTTTTTGAAGTATAAAGAAGTTTTAGTTCAATTTCCTGTATGTCTATCAACTTCTCGTAGTAAAGCAGAAAATGGAGGGGAAAAATGAGATAAATTGTAGTTACCTCACAACTTGCCACGACTTTGTGGTTAGCTTGCCTACCAACTGTTATCATTACTCAATCTAATTCCTTGGGCAAACACAGATGCGTCATTGATATTTACCATGCCCAAGGTCCTATGTCCAAGTTATGCCAAGGATGTGGTCTTAATTCTGGGCATTCTTGACATTTCTATTGATAAATACTATATAGTTACCGCCATTGCTACAATTGAAATACCTCTACCTGGACATGGAAATGAGAGAAGCAGAGGTGGAATGTCTCATCAATGAACTGGTTGCCTGAAGCTCAAAGCAGTGAGGCAGTCTGAGTGGCGGGCACTGCACATCCCTGTGGGGACACATAGACTTTCTGGATAAAGAGTGATCCCTTCTGAACCACGGGTTCAAGGTACTTACTTCACCCCATTGACTGCCCGAAGTAGGTTTTCACGCTGCCTGCTCCTACCCAGTATGTTAGCCTTAGATGGAAAGAGAAGGTGATCTGGATGCAGGTCCAAAACCTATACATCGAGGGGAGGGAATGGTAGAAATAGGATCAGTTCTCTGTGGGGAATGGTTCATCTGGATCCGTATTTATAGGGCTCTACTGTTGCAATACCAGGGAAGGATCTTCCAGTTGTGCAAAGAGGGATGAGGCTGGATAGAAACACGGAGAGACTGGTCCAAAGTGGGGAGGTGCAGCCCTCCATCACCCATGCCGTTAGTGTGCAGACCCCTTTATCAGTAACAGAAAGGAGAACCGGGTTCCATGACACTGTGAAACAGGAGGAAAGAATCGAGTAAGGCTATGACAAGCATATTGTTCAGCCCTGAGAGGAGCAAACCTCAAAGATATACCCTGATCCTGCCAAGTGAGCTCCTAGCAAGATGCATAGAAACCCCAGGATTTGTCCAGGCTTAGAGTTGTGAGAGGCAATCAAGAGGGTTGGGGAAAGAGAGAGCATGGAGGAGGAGGAGCAGAGAAAGGGGTCCTGGGAAAGGGGCAGTATGGAAGGACTTGGGTATTTCTGGGGCTAGCAGGGGACTAGGAAGGACAGGCTGACAGGGAGGTGAAGAATGGGGCTGGGGACGGGTTTTCTAATGGCCAAGAGACAGATATGAATCTTGGCCTTATCAAGATTTCTGTTTGTGGTTTTCTGGGTGAGAAACCTTTCCACCCCTGGAAGCAACTCCTGTTCTTATGAGGAGCAGAGGGAGTTGGTTGGTTTTGTACAGCAAGAGAGACACAGCAGTGTTTTGCCCTTCACAGTCTGGACATTTTTCTCCAGAGTCTCTTGCACCTGCGGCCGGGTCGCACCAGCCTACACATTCCTTATTTTTGGATACCTTGGCAGGAAACCACGTGGGATCCAATCCAGCTAAGCTGGGCACTGCCTCACACCATTTGGCTCCTCATGTTAGGTAAGTAATCCTCCTTTCCCAAAATACCCTCTAATTTCTTCCTATATTCAGTGCAGAGGGAGAGAGAGTCTTCATGGAGAATTTCAGTGTGTTTAACAAGGTATTTCTATTATTTCATTCTCTTATTGAGTTAGGTACCTGCAGATGAAGATCCAGCTAAATGTCTCCCTATCTCCACTGAAAGTCTCAGGAGTTCATTGGTCATGCCAAACTTCTCCACCCATTTCAGAACCAGGTCACACATCCTTCTTTGGAGGAGGAGAAATATTATGATGGGGTCTGCTTTTTACGCAATAATGTAATGCTTAGCAACCTGGCACAAGAATTGAGATACTCCTTTTGAATCATGAACATTGGGCAGCTGTGTCAAGATCGCATCCCAGAGAGGAGGGAGGTAAGGAGTCTATATCTAGCACAGCTGTTAAGACACTTAAGAGTGAAAGGAAGGCTGTGTTCCTAATAGTTTTCCGCTGAAAACAACAAAGATTAGGGAGGTCTTCTAGTAGTATCATTTAAATAATATTTAAAATGCTTCTACATCAAATACCTGTCTGCTCTTCCATCCTTGGCTTCCAGAGGGTGGTTTATTCGTTGCAATAAAAACTCCAGTTGTCTTAAAGTCATTATACTTAGGTATATCCAGAACACTGGGTTCAACAAAAAGCAGAACTCTTACAGTTTGCCACAGAGCAGATGTTTTTGTATGCTCCAAAGACGAGTTAGATTGAACAATAGTGATGATTGGTGGCCTACCTATCCACAGACTGTTCCTGAGTCATATGGTAACTTCTTTTGTGATTATTACACAGAATTCGAGCAATAAGTCCTAGCAAGGAGATCAAGGTATTTTCATACCACTGCACATTGCGTAATACAGAAATTAAGACTTCTCTAGATCAGTTAGAAGAGCTGTAAGCAGATGTTACACTGCCGAAGCAGATCCACCAAAAGGAGAATTGCCAATGTTTAGACGCAATTCTATATGTGTAAGTGTATTTGTAAGGGATATATTGTATTATGATTAAAAAATAAACCTTTGTTCCACCTATAGATCATCTCAACCATTAATGAATGGATACATTTTCAAAAAATTCAGGCACTACACAAAAAATATCTAATCAAGATAATGGCTTTAATCATTATGTAGTTATATTGAGTAACCAGGGAGAAATGATACCATGAGATCAAAAGTTGCACGGACAAATCCATCCTCTATCTTATCCTTGTCTTGACACCTAATTGAGGATATAAGGCTGGGAGCACAGAGTCCAGCCCCTTCATGTGACCATGCCAGTGGTCAGTGAGCACTCCAGCTGGCAGATGCATAGCGTAGATTGAAAACTACTTTGTACAGGCCATCCTAGCCCGAGGCTTCTTAAATAAAGGATATCTATGAACTGATACTTTGAGCTAGATACTTTCTAGAGACAGATGGTAAGAATGACCTCACCAAACCTGAAATGTTTGAAGTGTAAGCATCAAAGTTCAAACTATTTTCACTGCTCTTCCTTTAACAGTTAATGGAGAGAAACTGTTCTAATGATCACTCCATTTTTTAACTGAAGTACGAACACTTACAATAAGAGTGCTTGAAATGACACAAAAGTAATAGTAAGCAAATAGGAGAAACCCTTGCAAATGTTGTACTACAACATGTGCTATGGCATCTCTTGCAAGTTAAAGAGCAGTGACAACTCATCCATTCATTCTGCAGAGCACTATAAATGTGAGCTGTGGATCTAATGGGGCCAACATTTCCCCTTCACAGAGTTTTTTACATGTGTTGACGCCTTGTCCAACCCACTCAACAAGCCATTAGGGGACAAGTCCGTCTCAGCTGGGTAATGCTATTTGAATGGGCACAGTTCTGTACACATTCAGCAGCTGTTCCTGAGAAGATAATGGGCAAATCACTTTATTGCATATCCCTAGCTTGT